TGATACTGAGATGATACAGAGTCATCATTCAGGAGTAACACATGACAGGAGTTCATTGCTAACGAACGTAGGACCAAAATTGGCTTCTTTTGAAATTAAAAAAAAAGAACTCGGAAATTGAACAGTCTCCTTGGTTTGGGATGCGAACGACAGTTGTCCATGAAACCCGTGGAGGCCAAAGAAGGAAGAGCCGAGGTCATCTCCCATCTCCACAGCAAGCGGAGTCTGCTGCACCCTGTCCCGGCAGAGAGCACCGATGGGCCCCCTGTACCTGTGCCTACTGAGTGCCGTCAGCCTCCTGTGCCTGCTGAGCTCCTCTGGCCCACTGTTGCAGCGTCTTCCTGGTTGACCCACGGCGGTACGGCAGACTCCTGTGTCTCCATGGGAGGTCCTGCCGACTCCTGTTTACTCGTTGGAGGCCCTGACCACTCCTTTGTCTCCGTGGGAGGCCCGCCCTGTGCTGGGATAAGCTTAAAGGGATACTTCACCCGTTGCACAGCACTGCACGCCACTCCCAGTGAGGTCCTCTACAGACATTTACTTCAACACATACGGCAACTGATTACAAAATTTCTTCCAGAAGGAATTGGCATCTTGGAAATTCCTGTCAGAAAACGGACTCTATGTCTGTGTCCTTAGGCAAACAGTGAGAGCACCGACACTACCAGTCCGCCCCAGCTCGAGCCGCCCTAGGGTTCCTCGTCCTCACCGCAGCAGCCGAGGCATAACACCCGCCTGTCAGCAGCAGCTGCCTCTCCGCTATATTGCGGTTTGTAGAGATAACCACGAACATCCGTTTCGAGCACAAGACCATCAAAATCCCCTTCATCCATTTCCATTGAAAATATAAAGAACTAGCGATGTAGTTTCAGCCCTGCTAACCACAACAGCCGCCGATGACGCAAAATGATGATTTTTGCGTCATCAGAGGCTCCTTGTCAGGCTTAGAAATACAAAGATATCCCATCTCAGGGGAAAATGAGGGCGGGATGCAAAGCTTAATGCAAATGGGTTGAAGAAAACGGATGGATAGATGGAGCATAAATGGAAAATAAAAGCAGTCTCAGTACGTATTATATATTACTTTATATTGATGAGTGAGGTCAACAACTGTCAGCGAATGACAAAAAAATTATAAAAAGGAACACAACTATCGCAGAGCAAGAATCATGCAAGTTCATCATTTCATCAAATAAGCTCATTTGCAGCCTTTTCATAGCCAAAGTTTCAGTAAGAACAGCTGTTTTCAGTCCGAGACAAGATAAGTAAGTAGGACTTTGGTCCTATGTTAACTTACAGTTAACAACAACATGGTGTCCATGCAAAGTCCTGTTTTGTAACTAATGCTGCAATTTTAAATATTATTGCAAATTGAAAAATACACAAGAATGCTGGAACGTAGTCACTAAGGAACTAGGGGAACTGGCACAGAAGGAGGGGAACGCAGAGACTAAATGTTCAAGGGGAGTGGAGAAAACAGACGGAAGGGCAGGAAGCAAAGGATCTGAAACGAGACACAAGGGCCCTTTCCGAATACCCACAGTTCAGTAGGCAGTACATACTTTTCAGTAGAGAGAAAAACATAGAGAGTGCAAAACGTAAATTGTAACTTCACGTGCGCCTCCAAATCAAAACAAACGAGCATAGATTAATTTAAACCTAACCCGATTTTAACCCGACTGAAATCGCTGCTTTTAGTTCACAACAAAAAATGTAAAAAATGTCTGCAGTATTATAAAACCTTTTCCCTCTATTTAAATAATGATTTCACTATTTAAATGTGTCTTTACTGGTTTACTTTATATTCTGTATATTATTGTTTTTCATTTGTACTTTATGCGCATTACTCTTCTTGAATAAAGCTAAACAAACAAACAAAAAAAAAACGGGTGAATGCGGCCGGTTCGGGTAACGTCAACGACGCCAATTCCTTACTGAATGAATCAGACAAAGTAGGAACAAATATCTGCCTACTGTGCACGCCTACTGAATAGTAGGTACTAAACAGTATACAGCACGGATAGTAGATACTGTTTACTGCCTACTGCCAGATTGAATAGGAAATTTCCTAGACAACACCTACTATCCGTGCTGTATACTCTTAGTATCTACTGTTCAGTCGTAAAAGACAGATTAAATAATAAAATAACATACAGTACATACAGTAAAGTATGAATGAAAGACAATATTATAAAGTAAAATAAACCAATAAAGACACATATATGTGGAATAAATATATATATAAATATAAATATGGAAATCGTTATTTAAATTGAGGGGGAAAGGTTTTATAATAATGCATAAATCTGTTACATTTTCTGTTGTTAATTAAAAGTAGCAATTTCAGTAGGGACTTTAACTCTAGATTAAACATTGATTCACTAATCCACGCTCGTTTGTTTTGATTTGGAGGCGCACTTGAAGTGACGTTTTTCTTTAATTTCGCACAGCATTGTGGGTGGTAAAATTACAATTCATTTCCTGAAAGGATGCATCCGATCCATACTGCATGAAACCTGGAGGTTAGTATCCATACTGAAATGTTCAGTATACTGAGGTGGACCCAAAAAATGCCTACTGAATGACCACAAAAGTTCAGTATACTGAAACTACCTACTGAAAAGTACGCACTGCATACTGAACTGTGACAATTCGGAAAGGGCCAAGGTAAGTATCAACATTAAGGAAGCACAAGACATAAAACATGAAAATAACAGGAGAAAGAAACTATACTTTACTGTAGACATGACATTTTGTGTGTGTTAACAATTTGTTTATGAATACACGGTCTGCCAAGCCAAAAATAAAGTAACACAAAACAAATCATACATCTAATGTCTCCCTTGCACACAAGTTGCACAAGTGCACAGAAGTATGAGAAGAAATAATGAAATTATCAAAATGTTGTTGCAATCAATAAAAAGAAGTGGAGGGAAAACTTTGATGAACTAATGCATGAGGCTTCACTTGTTTGTTTTATCAGACATATGAGCCTCTCCATCCCCCAACGGGACATTAAACAGGAGGAGCACAACTACAAGAATGTTCCGGTACCTTTACTGAAAAATATATTTTAAAACTATTCTTTCTGCACTTTCTTAAATTGTGTTACTGAAGTTATTCTGTGTATCGGTTAATGCCCAACAAGATGTCAGGTTGTATAAACAACTTGGAGGCCTGAACAGTCTGACACATAATGCATCCATAAAAAAAACTGATTCTGAAGATATCAAAGGGCTTTATCTTGCTTCTTCCATGGCCTCACGCTAAAGAAAAAAATATTCCTCTACACTGAAGTCTTTTGCTTTCAGTTAGGTGTTTATTCCTTTTCTTTTTTTTCTGTGAACTATTTTATTTTATTAACATATTTCTGTGTGAAATGGTTTTGTACATAGATTATCATTATTGTATAGAAACAGTTGTAAGTATTTACTTTAAAAGCTTTGGCAGTATTTTTCCCTGTTATTTTTTATTTCACAAATGTATTATGTTACTCCTTTAGTTCCCCTAGACATAATAAGGTCATAACAGTGACTTTAACGTCAAAAATTCTGCCTAGCTCACATGCTTTTTTAACAGCTATGGGCCACAAAGCTAATGGCGTGCTATCTAGATTCAGAGTTTGTGAGATGATAACTTGTGTAATTCAGAGTATTATTTAAATGTCGGTGGGCTGTTTACTTATTGGAGTTGTGTGTTACAGGCGCCATCCTGTGGTGTACAGAGGAGGTGGTATTAGAGGACTGCACTTTGAACAAAAGTACATCCCTTCTCTCTCTCTCTCTCCATAGTATTTCTCCAGTTTTGTCCTAGTAATTCAAGTTAATTTCATAAATTTTCCAAAATTGAGCTGACTTTATGAGAATCTCACAATTTTCACAAACACTGGATATTTTCAAATTAAAGCCTTGTACCTTTCATCATTTTCTCGTCTTTTCTTTTTATATAAAGTCTTAAGGGTTAAAAGCTGAGCCATATAATCTGCAATGTGGAGACTTTTCACTAGATGGCAGTGTCTAGTTTGGGTTGCTTACTTGAAGTGGCCTCACCAACTCTGATGGCGCAGCTTTCTAGGTGTTTTCTGAGTGTTCAGAGGAAGCTTTTTGACCTCTCAATTTTCTGCATTTAAGAAATGCCTTTTTGTGACTTTGGGAGTTCTTTGAAGCATGATGACATATGTCAAAGAATACTTTAGTATATAACTATAAGTTGTATAGTGTAGATGGTCTGTTAGTGTCTGTTAAACATTACTTATAATAAGTCCTCTGACTGTATCCAGCCAGATAATCAGATTTCAAGCATATGTGCAGATCATGTATAGCAGTCTGAGATAAAGTGTTTCTGAATAGATGTGGTGATCATTTTTGTAGTAGCAGCTCTTATGGAGATCTTTCCTTGAGTGTACTCTTGTGTTCAAGGCTGTTTTCATGTTTTATCATTTAAATTTTTCTACATCAGTGCCCACTTCTTGAAAAAAGTATTACATCACTCTCATCAAGGTCCTCATCATGCACTTTGTCTGTGTGACAGTGGTGGGTGGTGTGTTTGAGTCAGTGCAGGATATTGCAGCTGCCCTAGTCTGTTAAATGCTGAGATACTCATCTCTTTTATGTCAACATGTATGTCATATGAAGCCCAACCTCAAGGTGATACTGTTCTCATTTGTAACTGTTAATTGCTAGTTATTTTGAAACAGTGGCAATAAAGTTATAAAAAAAATAATAAAGAGAACAGTTATTAACTCCTTAATGTTACTGTAAGAGATATCTTTCAGCTATCCCAAAAGCTTGTCAGAAGCCAAATTGTTGAAGTAAAAAGTCTGACATGATGAGAAATGCTCTTGGCAGTTAGCGTTCCTGATTGGATCTTAACTAGGCGTAGTCAAAGTTTATAAAAGGGAAACACACAGTGAGCTTCACAAAATGAAATGTCTGTTAGATTTGAAAAAGTCAACAACTTCCTCTTTTTGTCTTGAAAGACATTTTTTTTATTGTATGTCATAGTATTATTAAAATGTAATGAGCAAGACTGTGATATAATATTTCATTTTGTCAAATTTACAATACATAGGACCTTCTCTCACATCCTAAAAGCTGACATGCTAACCACTTCATTGTACAGGTAAAGCTTTTATTGATCAGAAGATTAGAAAGTTAAGAAGAGTATAAAGTGTATTTAACTGTCAAGAATAACAACATAGCTAAACAAATAAAGTTTTGTGAGAAATACATTTGTTCTAAAGGGAGCGTACATTTTGGTCTGTTTTCTCCTCATTCTCTCTTCCTCCATCGAGCTTACTGTCAAAATGTTGTCAACATTCATACTGTTGATATGTTGGTGTCAGTGTCGGCAACTCTGCAACAGTTCACAGTGGTAAAAAGCTTACTAATTGACGCTTTTCTATAGAAAACATACAGAATTAAGTCTGCAAGAGGACTCAGCTTAACAAAAATGTTAGATAGATCAGTCAGAGTAATGTAAGGCTTGTTTATCCTTACAATGAGCCAGAGCGTGCCGGGCAGGAACAGCAGTGTGTAAATGAGCAGCACCAGGACCAAAATTCCAACAACTCGTTGTTTTTCTTCAGAGGGGACGGAGACGGAAGCAGAGAGGGCTCTGAGGGTCCCAACCAGGAAGAATATGAACAGTAGGAAGGGAAGGATTAGGAAAATGGCGAAGATGCTTCCTGCCACATCAAAAGTAAACCAGGGAAACACAGTTAGGTAAAAGACAGGAGGTATGAGCCAGACCACAACACTGACCACCACAGAGTTCTTGATGGTCCGTTTGAAGCGGTACCACAGTGGGTGGGCGATGATCAAATACCTGCAATAAAAGATGGACACGTTGTCTTTGAGGAGGTGCAGAATAAGTCAGAATCAGACGTAGCTACAGGACGTATAGTTACCTTTCCAGTGAGACACACACCATGAAGCCAACACTGATCCATAGACCACAAGAGTGGATAAAATATACAATGGTCTGATCCAGTTTTGTCTCCAGAATGATCATGCAGCAGAGCTGAATGAGGTCAGAAATAAGAAGGTTGATGACGTAGATTGGAGCCTCATGATCCTTTCGTACCTGCAGGAAAACATATGAAGAAGACAATCAGTTATAAACATGTTCTGAACTCATCCTTCTCCCAAAAATAACACCTTTTTCTGCCTAACTATTGCAGTAAAAGCCATATATGCATTTTTCATTCATCTCATTTTAGCATGTAAGCACACAAAAATCTGCTTTATTCTTGAAGTAGCATTAAATACAAAGAACAGCTGGAGTTTATAATAATGGCATTACTTTTGCTGGTTGTCAGTCATAAACCAATTTGGATAATTTGACCTGATGATGAGGCCAAATTAAAATAAACAAGGGATCACAAAAGTTATTAAGATTCAGCCTCTGCCCACCATGGATGTTTGTACTGTATTTTCTGGTCGCTGCACACAGTAGCTAATGAGTAATTCCACAGAAAGAAGTTGATCAATTTGTCTCGTTTAAGGAAAAGGAACACAGTTTAAGAGCAACTGCAAAACTAATCTTTTTTTAAGTTAAAGCAACATTATGTAATACCAATTACCTATTGAATCATTTATGAATTAATTGTACTTTACAACACACCCTCAAAGTCAACTGAAACCTTGACCCCAAGCCTGATCCATATGGAGGGGCAGCAGATCTCTATGGGATTTGCTGAAGACACCGCTGATGGGGAGATGCAAGTGGGAGCAATTAAACTGCGAGGCAGCAGAGAATTCAGACTGTGCTCCAGTCCATTTACCTTGCAAACATCTACTTATTTAGCAAACAAGATGGACGAACTGCTGCTCCTGACAGAACAAATACAGACATTTGCAGATTCACTTCCCTGTGTTTCACTGAAACCTGACTCAGTGAACACCTCCTAGACAGCCCACTGCACCTCCCGGACTTTTAGCTCTTATCATCCTCCTCATGTGACATTAATCTATGCACACTGCTTTAATACAGTAAGAACTGTCTACCTCTCGTAAACTGATTGTTGATCTGATTCTGAGACTGTTCAACAAACACATGGCACAGACAGTAAATGAATAAAGTCATGTAATGTACATATCAGAGAGAAAAGAGCATAGATGGTCATGAGCATCAGAGGAAGGCCGATACTGATGATGATGCATGTTACCACATGCATTATGAAATTGACTTTTTGGTAATACTCATACTGCAAGAAGTATGACTCGAATTCGATGTAATTATAGCTGTCATTCAGGAGGGCGACGTTATCTGTCATTCTTCAAATTGAAACCTAGAGTTAAAGAGATCAAGACATAAGGAGTTTTTAAGAAAATGTGTTGCACTGTGACATAAATGAAGCAATGACCAGCACTAGACAGTGTTTTTTTCTGTAAGTCTAAAAGCTGATGATTGTTAAAAAAAATCGGCCAAACTAAAATTATTTCTACTTTTTAAATGATCCCTTTTTATTTGGATACAGGCAGTGTGACATGCAAAACATTTTCCCGCAAACACATGCTTGTCATTTTAACAAATAACAGAGTAACCACCCCCACCAAACAATAACATATCATTAATATATCATCACGTTTATATTTATTCTCAGGATTGTTTGCACTTCCTTTTCTTTTCAATTGTATTTGTAATGAGACCACAACACTGACATTTTAAAGTTACCAGATCTCACCTGAATGAAGTCCCAGCACCAATGTCTGATGTTTCTCTGCAGCCAAACTGTCTAAAGTGATTTAGATAAGTGGTGGTACACACTTGGTTACTGATGATATAACACACCTCTTCTCAGGAAGTGAGAAAAAAAAGAGTCAGGCATGATAACGTATCTAGTGAGGGAGGAAGAAATTGCAACACAAGCAGAAACTGTTTGAAATAAGAAAAGCAGATACCTTCTTCACATTTGATCATAGAACTAGCAGAATTTGTAGTAGCTGTGGTAGAATTAGTTTATTTTTTCTATGTGTCATGCACCAAAAGGGGTCCCAGCCGGCCAGCTCAAAAGGGATTACAAGGCACTAGAAAACCAGTTTATGACAAAGACAAACCAAATGTTAATAATATTATGCTCTTGAGACATTAGAACTTAATCACTTTCTTTAAACTAAATCAAACATGACTTATCCTCTTCCACAACTGGAAATCATTCGACACACAGTAAGACGTCAACTTATTTATTTATTTATTTTATTTCTTATTTGCGTGCCTATTCATTTTACTTATGTTTTATGTCGTTTAAATTGATTGTATTTCACATTTAGTTTTCTTTTATCTCATATGAGCTGTTACGAATTTTATTTATTCTTCTGTACAGCACTTTGGTCAGCTGTGGTTGTTTTAAAGTGCTTAACAAATAAAGTTGGATTGGATTAGATTGAACACAAACTGAGCATAAAGTGCTTGAAAATGTGTGGGAATGCTGAATAAAGAACCATGTCGACTCAAAAGGTACAGTAATGTAACCATATTTTGATAAAACCTGGATGTCTGCAGTCCGATGTGTAGTATGAGTATATGTATTCAACTGTTACTATGATATCTATAGGCCGTAGCTAAATAGCTATATGTATACATGCTAGTTACCGGTTTGTAAGCTTCTAAACTTTTTAGAGACAACGTAAGATGGATATATTTATCTATTTGTTTGCAAACCGGAGACATAACTGTTGACTTTCTGCTCCCGGTAAAGCTGCTAAACGTGAGACAACGATGACACCGGAAATGATGCAGCCTCACGTTATGTCTAAATCTGTTATACATAATCTGCAAGGATGTTCATTCTGTCATCTAATAGTTGCTTTCCCATTAGACGTGAGAAGGATCGTAATACCGACTTGTTTGGGCAATTTTATAACTAGTCTGTGACCATGTATATGTAATAAGTGTATGAGGTTTTTGTTTTATTTTCTTCTTTTATTCCAGGATTCAACTTCAATTCGCCATCAGTGAGCAGGAGCCGGAGTGGAGCAGCATCATAGGCCTGCAGCATATAGACAATGTGTGTTATGATAGCATGGCTGCTTGGGAGAGGGCAACAGAGTTATGAATCAAAGCTGATGCGTCTGGAAAATCAGAGATGCTTTCCCAAGTACAGTATCCTGGCTACAGGGTGCGCTGCCTTGTGTAAAAATGTGTCTTACAGACTTGTACATACATACCTGTTCTGGCTTTGTTCGGTATTTTTGTGCCATTTCAGGTTGAGTTTGTATGTAGAGTTCCTTGAAGTCTTTTGTTTTGACCAGTTTACACAATAAAACACACTATCCTGGAGCTTTGTTATGATGGACTTGAGCTCTGATGATGCACAGTTGTAGATACAGGCAGGAAGAAAGTTTAGGAGCAGCTTCTCCCTGTGAAATGTGAGTAAAGTTCAGCGTTGGGTGGTGCCTGCTCATCATCAGCACCAGACTCTATGTTGTAGGAAGGCCCGTTCATCTTCGAATTCTCTTTTGCATCAATGGCCGTAGTCTCGTCTCTTTCAAGGCGTTCACACTCCAGCTCTTTGATTTTTATTGCAGCAACTTCAGGACCTTGGACAATAATATTATTTTGTATTAGAGAGGTTTCATATTTTCAAAACTGTTTAGGTAACAGCAACAATACATTTGTATGTTAGACAACTGTACTACTAGATACTTACATCTTGTGTCCATCACGGTTTCAAGCAGGAAGTCGGGGGTTCTGGTGGTTATAATCAAAAGCTGTAAGCAAGGTCAGTGTTCTGTATACAGGTGGGCTGTGACCAAACTGCTTCTCTGCATACATAAGGGTGTGCTTTTGGAAGTTCTCCAAATCTGAAGTTGTCCTGTTGGGTAGAAAAGGCAGACAGAAAAAACCTGCTCTGTTAGTGACATACTTCTCACTTCCATACTGCACCAAATAACATGAAGGTGAGCAGAGTCCTCAGCTTGAAAATCAGCTGGAGACATAGAAAGAGTCAAAATACAAATACATTTTGTAATGGTCCTAAAAAGCATTGATGCTTCATGCAGCCATTGTCGATTTGAAAAAAAGTGGAAATTTGTTTGTATGGAAATAATTACAAATACAAGCATTTGCATGACTGGAAGGTGATCTGCAAAATATATATTTGTGTGTTTGAGATGTAAGTCAAATTTACCTGGATTACAAGACATCAGCCTCCTCCTCTTCCTCATTCAGTAGCTGAACACCTTGGACAGCAAACATCATTCCTGAATCAAAAGACAAGTAGAATATTAAATCTTACCATTCAATGACAGTATTTTTTTAGATAACATTACTCCATGAAAACATACCTGTCGCGGTCTGACTGTAGACTCTGGCAGGGTTGTAGGTTGCATTTGTTGCTGGAGATGATGCTGATCGCCTTTTTAGAAGCTGGAATAAAGTTCAAAGTCTTTATGCTAGTTGATACAACTGTGCAGAGTATGTATAGGAACATTAGTTTCAACACATGAGAAAGTTTGCATACGCGCTGCTCAGACAATTAGCAGCCGGAGCTATCGTAACCTGAACCAGGGACACTTTGCTGTCTATATTATCATGCTACGGGCTAAACTTCTACAGAAATGAGCTGACTTGGCTTTCAAACACCCGCTAATGTGTCGACAACTTTTCTCATCGTGCATCAGTCAAAGTCTGCCCAAATAACTCTGACATATAAGGTTAGCATGTGTCGCTAACTCATCATCAGGGGACAGTAACGTTATTCTGACATTCCGGTCGTTATATGATATAGACTGAATGGATTTGTGTTGAAACACCTCATAACTATGATGCAATGAAATAAGACAACGTTTATAACGAGTACTCACCAGTTCAACAGCAGCAGTGCCAGCTCGGTATCTCTCTCCAACATGTAAAAGCCTCTCCAATATTTACTTTTGTCCGGTCTCTTGTTCGGTCACTCTCTTTATTCTTTATTTGATTCCTAGCTTCATCCGTCAATGTGCTTTTCCTCTTGGCCATACAGAGACGGGCTTACTCCTAATATTTACAGTCTCGGCTAACTCCAAGGACTTGTAAACTAGTGCTGTAAAGCAGTATGTACCTCTCGCAAGATGACCGCGAGTACGGTCAACTTCCACCAATTGCGTGGTCAGTCTGTTTCCGCTGCC